TAAAACCATTAACACATTTTCATGGAATGCACATTTAGAAAAAAACTAAAATAATCCAACACAAATTTCTTTTCAAGTCATCACACATTCACCTTCAAACCATAAAGCATTACATTCTTATTAAACTACAGTGCATCCCATCATTTAACTACTATAGTGCACCCCAAGTTGGGCACTTTGCATTACTAACAATTATATATATCTCCAATGAATTTTTTATTCCAACAGTGATGCACTTTTACTTTTAATAAATAACTCAGCCACATCATAAATGACATTTGCAACAACCGTGCATTCAAAACTACCATGCACTGCATTTTCGCCTAATGCGGCTACACACCACGAAACCCTAAAATCTCAGCTCAAAAAAACCCTGTAATTGCGTACTCCTAAAAACCCCAAATTCAAATTTCATCCAAAACAAAATTGTTGGTGATGAAATCTGAAAAACAAAAGGAAATAAATTGTGTATGGATCATCCGCTCAAAAAAATAATCAAACTTATGAAACAAAAAAAAGTCAACATACCTAAAGACAGTGCATCATTGATGCATCTCTCTGCATTTTCATCATCATCAAGCAGAGGCGGTCTGCAGAAATTTTTATTTCTCTTCCATGATTATCTTCTTCTCCAACAAGATTTCCTGCCCAATTGAAGAAAAATCAAGGCAATCACCGGTGTACTTGGATATCGATAAATTTTGAACTCCCCAAGCGTCTTCTATGAGATTAGCACCGTGAAATTTAGTTCAAGTTTGAACTTCTCTCAAACCAAATACTTACAGAGTGCAGCGCCCGGAGATGTGTCGGGAAGTGAAGGGAAGGGAAGAGTTCTATCCTGGGCATGCTCCTTAATAAACGGGATAATAAAGATCCCTGCTAATTTTTCGATTTTTTATGCCAATTTCCGTTCCTTTTTTGCCCTTGCACGAGATTATCAAGATTTTTAATTACACCGTAATTATTACTTTCCTATTACACACAAGACTCTATACTTGCATCTCAACCACACGATGGACTATATCCAATGAATCTTATTCATTGAGACTCATTCTTACCGGAACCAATCCCTATATATATATATATATATATATATATATATATATATATATATATATCAAATTTTAAAAAAATATTTAAACTACTGGTTCGATTAGTGAATCACTACCTGGACCGATTCGGTTCTAAAAATTATACTTGGCATAGTTATCTTCTTCCGTTGCTTCCTAATTCTCTCTCACTCTATAGCCTCCCAATTCTAACACCCTCCTTTCTTTCCTGCTAAGTTAGCTTAAAAAGGTGAACCCCCATTCTCCTCTACCCATTTGATACTTCCTCCGTCCTGAATTTGATTACCATTTTTTTCTCTCTCCTATCGATAACTTTTGTTTGTTTATGCGATTTCATTAAATATTTGATCAAATAAAATATTTTTGTCATCTCTTGTTTTATACTACCTCTGTCCCAAAAAGATTTACACATTTCAAAAAAATTGCGTCTCATAATCCCTTACCCATTTATATTAAAAAACCACTTTTACCCCTTACTTTTTCAAACCCTACCTATTACATCATACCTTTTTCCTAATAATCTACACATCACATTCTACTTTTACCCATCACATCAAGGGTATTTTTGGAAAGTCAACACAAAATTATCCCTCGCTTAATTTCAACTTTAGTCAAAATGGGTAACACTTTATGGGACGGAGGTAGTAGAATTTTTGACGTAGTTTTTTAATATGTAACTTTTATTTCTAATTAGTATAGCAATTTGTAAATAAAATGATTTTAAAAAGTGAAATATTTTTCTCGTAAATTCCAATTTGTAATCAAATTGAGCATAGGAGGAGTATAATTTTCAGTGCTCCTTTGTAGGTGCGAGTATGTGGTTGTGGACCTGTGGAGTATGCTTTTGTGTTTTTGTTTTGAAAACTTTTTGTGGCTTTCTCAATCGTAGTTGAAGAAATAAAAATTCAAAATAAAGAATTCGTTCGAGCCTTTCCATGGCATGGGTTAAATACTACTCCCTCCCCTCCTAAAGAAAATGAGATTTTTTTATTTTTAGACAATTTAAGGGTAGTGTATTTTGATGTTGAATTTTTAAAAATGTCCTTTGATGTGTTACGTAAAAATAGAATTTGATGGATAGATGTGATGTGATAGGTAGGTTAAGAATAAGTAGAGGTAAAAATGATTTTTTAATAAAAAAAAACGTTTTTAGAGACAGATGTTTCAAGGATACTGGGAGTACTTGAAAATAATATAGAGAATAAGCCATAATCTTTTATGAGATTGAGGAGGGAGCTTTATCTTTTTGTAGAAATGTGGTAATCGAGAAATAGAAATTACCCTAAATAGTACTAAAACATAAAAAAAGTACTAAACTAAGACTTTCATGTTTTTTTTCCCGAAATAAGACTTTACACCGTGATAATGTGACTTTGCCCTGTTGTAATGTGGTAGTGTAATGTGCAAATTACTAAACTTTTTTGGTAATGTATATGATCATGTATGGTAATGTAAGTCCTATTTCGGAGATAAAAACATGAAAGTCCTATTTTGGTATATTTTCAATGTTTTAGTCATACTTTGATCTTTCTCTCATCGAGAAATAAACAAAAAAAGGAAAAAATAAAAAAGTTTGATCAGATTCGAGAAAATATTAAAAAAATGGGGAACTCTTGTGTGGCCTTAAATTTCATGTTAATTTTATGGAACTTAGTCATTGATATCATAAAAGAAAAAAATTTTGGGTATTTTGTTAAAAAAAAGATTTACTTGCCAGTCTATGAAATTTTTGAAAAGGTCTACATCTTATTCTTTGTTAGCATGAAAATTAGCATGAAAGTTTCAAGCACATGACTTTAGGTCAACTTTTCCAAAATAAACCCTCACAAAGTACATTATTGTCAAAATATTTTTTTTAAAAAACAAATCCTATTTTTAAGGATTACACCAGACCCCATGATTGAGAGGAAAGTTTCAAGCACATGACCGATGACGCGAGTTTTGTCGAAATAACTCTCAGATCCCTCTATTTTCAAGAAGACAACACAAGTCCTTACATTTTGTTGTAATGGCTGAGATGAGACATTTCATCCAATACTTCATTCATAAGCGTTAATAAATGCATTTTTTTCCTATTTTGCCATTACATAATAACTTTTAGGTCCCTCACTTTAGTCTTTTTGTTTAATTTTCTTTTTTGTCTCTTTTTTTCACTTTGTTCCTTTTTTCATAAATATTTTTTTAAAACTTTCTTCTAGAAAATAGTTTCAAAAATTTAAATTTTGCATAATATAAAAATAAATAAAATAAGGACCTTATCAAAAATGAAAATTAGATCTCTTTTTTTAATATTCCATACAAAGTATTAAAAGAAGAATATTGAGGAGTTTCTAGGGAATTTGTTTTGTTATTTTTCAATTTTTCAATTTTATTTGGTTTTTTATTTTTTAGAAATTTTTTCATTTCATTTATTCTTGTATCAATTTTGAATAATGATATGATTTTATAGAAGAAATTCTAGAAAAACATTTTAAAAAAAAGTAACAAAAAAAAGACAAACAAAGAAATAAAAAAAGGAGGGACCTAAGAGTTATTAACATAAAACATTAAAGAAAATATAGGAAAAAATACATTTATTAACATTTATGGATGACATATTGGATGAAATGTCCCTCCCTGTCATTACAACAAAATGTAAGGACCTGCGATGTCTTCTTGAAAATAAAAGGACCTAATAGTTATTTTGACAAAACTCACATCACTCATGAGTATGTAATTTTCTGTGCAAAAGTTCCTTAGCATGGTTGCCTTCCTTTGCTTCCAAGTTCTCTGTCACTTTACAGCCTCCCAATTCTCACACTCTCCTTTCTTTCCTGCTAAGTTAGTTTAAAAGGTGGAACCCCATTCTCCTCTGCCCGCGCCGTTTGATATATATTTTCTGTGCTCCTTTGTAGGTGGGATTATGTGGTTGTGGACTTGTGGAGTGTGATTTTGTTTTAGAAACTTTTTGTGGCTTTATGAATTGTAGTTGAAGAAATAGTGAGGCGAAGCTAAGAAATGGCTTCCGGAGGAGGTTCTGAGCCGTCAATGCAGCGACAGACAACGAGGAGCCAGACGGTGGGAAACATAGGAGAGTCTATGTTTGATAGTGAGGTGGTCCCATCGTCGCTGGTCGAGATTGCCCCCATTCTTCGTGTTTCCAATGAAGTTGGGCCCAGCAACCCCCGCGTTGCTTATCTCTGTAAGGATCTATCTCTTTGGTTTCTTGGCTCCCCCTGCAATCTCTTGGTTTATATGTAATTGCTTTCTTCGTGTAAGGACCTAATGAATTTGCTATTTGATGCTTTGGCCTCTTGGGGAGCTGCCTTTACACTCAGCAGTTGATGTTTTTGAACATTCATTCCAAATGGATTTTTGAAATCTACTAAAATTAGTTATGTTGCGAAGAGTTCTGAGAGTTTCATAATTTCCCAAAAAGATGGAAACCAGAAAATGGGAAATTGACTTCAGTTTAAATGGTTTCCACATGATAAAAGGATCTTTGATGTTATTATTATTAAATGGAATCAAATTTGAAGGTCTACGTACACTCACAACTTCAAATTTGAAAATTAAGGAGGAGAAGTATATAGAACAGGTTGAGATACATTCAATTAGAGGAGCACAAATTGCTGCTCTATCTAATTCTAGGAACGTAGGAGGAGGTATGACTTTTGTGAGAAAATTTAGCACTATCTCAAATTTTGAAGAAAAGAAAAATAAGCCATGTACCTTGGTGTCCCTCGGGGATGAAGATATGTGAGCTTCCTTGAGTTCTCCTCTTTTATATATATATATATATATATATATATATATATATATATATATATATATATATATATATATATATATCTATGTATATATATATATATGTATATATATATATATGTATATATATATATATATATATATGTTGGGATTTTAAGCGCGTAAGAACCCGAAAAATATTGAGAACACCAGAAAAATGAGAGAACAAACACAAGGAGAATATATGAGAGAAAAATTATATCTTCACTATTTCAGAACGATACACAAAAAACTCTCCCTGTTTACAAGTGCTAAATACCAGACACTTTTAAACAGACTTTTTAACACCCTACACCCGGATGTATTTTTCCGAGTAACTAAAACCAGTTACTCCCTACACTCACTCACACAATATTGGTGATATCTTGTGTAGCACCTCTCTCTTCACACACTTTCCCTCTTTTCTTCTCTCTTGGCCGTGTGTCAACCCACACACACAATTATAAAGAAAAGGATTCCTCTTATAAGAGGTGAAGGCCAAAAAAAAAAACATCTCCATCCCATATTCCCATTATTTTCGTACACCACCAAGAACCAAGAGAAGGAGACAACTCCACTTCACATGCATGGGTCCACTTCACATGCATTGGTGTGTATGCATGCATATTCCTTTTTTTTTTCTTTTTTTTTTCCTTTTTAATTAATCAATCCCAACAAACTCCACCTTGATTAATTAATCAAACCATGGTCCGACTCCACCCCGCTCGTTCCGGCGAGTTCACAGTCTCCACCAACCTGAGAATCTTCAAATGTCACCCGCTTCTTCCATGCAAATGCTCCGCTCGTTGCACTTGTAATTTTTCCTTCTGGGAACTTCCGTGTCAAATCTTTTCCTACAAGTTTATACAAGCCTTTTGACAAAACTCCTTTTGCTACCACCATTGCTCCCCTAGAAATTTTTAACACTCCACCTTGAGCAAAAAATCGGTAGCCTTCTGAGTCTAAAGCCCCCAATGAAATCAAATTTCCTTTTAGACCCGGTACATGTTTCACTCCAGTTAATGTTCTCACCACGCCATCAAACATGCGAACTTGCACTGTTCCGACCCCTGCAATTTTGCTCCGTGCACCATTTGCCATCTTCACAGCACCCCCATCACAAGTTTGATAGGTATCAAACTTTTCCTTAACTGAACACATGTGAAACGAACA